CTCATTATGTATACTTGGTACCCTTGTTGAAGATCAGCTGACCATGTTATGTGTGAATTTATTTGTAGACTGTCTGTTCTGTTCCATTGGTCTATGTATCTGACTTTATGCCAGAATCATATTGTTTTGTTTGCTGTCACTTTGTAATATATTTTGAAATTCGTAAGTGTGAGGCTTCTAGTTTTGTTCTTACTTCTAAATTGATTTTGTCCACTTAAACTTTGTGCCCAGCTCAGGGAAGGGGTAATAGCAACTTCTAGCCCAAATATCCTTCTCTGTTCTTGTTAGCCCCCAGGCAGCTGGATTTTGCCAAATCCTATCAGTACTCCACTACAGGTAAGACAGAAGCCAGTCCTTTTGGTAGTCCCCATAAAAATTGGGGCATTGGACACAGTGTGGACCAGTTCTTTTCCTCCGTAGGCAAAATCTGGGGGCTGGGAATTTTCTTCACTCTATGCTGAGCTGGGGGAACAGATAGGGCAACTACTCTTCCCAAGCCTCCATTATCTCTGGTCTCCTGTAGGTGGTTAGATTATGTAGGACTTGTTTTACCAGTGGTCCAAAAAACAGGCAAGACAGAAACCAGTCCTTTTGGTAGCCACTGTAGAAGTTGGGGCACTGAACACTTACACCAACTCATTCTTTCCCTTGAGGGTAGCTGGGAGCTGCAGGGTTCTTCCCAATCCTATGGGGCTCTGCTGGAAGTAGGATTCTGGCGAGAGGGTGTCCTGAATCTCCCTTCTGGCTTTGATGAGTCTGGATTCTTATTCATCCAGGGTTCAGGAGCCTTTCAGTTAGTTTCTGGATTTCTCACAAAGGAATTTTGTTTGTGAATTGTTGCTGAATTGGTGTATTTGTTGAATGAAGGAGGGTCCAGGGCTTCCCACTCTGCCATCTTGCTGATGTTACTGCTCTGCCATTTTGTTTTGTGGGAGATTTTAAACTATCTTAAATTTAAAAATGTAATTGCAGCTCTTTGGATTTACTTTAAATATATATGTATATTTCAATTTAGTAAATATGAAAACGTTAGTAATCAAGACAGTATAGTACTTAGATAGGCATAATGTAGATATATAGATCAGTGGGATAGAACTGAAAGTATAGAAATAAACCTACATTTTTACAGTTAATTGGACAAGGGTGTCAAGACAATTTAGTGTGGGAAGGAATAGTCTTCAACAAATGGTGCTGAGACAGTTGGATATCCATATGCAAATGAATGACATTGGACTCTTACTTCACATTGGCTATAAAAATTAACTCAAAACCAAAGAAAGACCTAAAGATAAGAACTAAAAGTATCATAAAACTCTTAGGAGAAAACATAGGTGTAAATCTTTGTAACCTTGGACTCAGCAATATATTAATATTTTTTAGATATGACATTGGAAGCACAAGTAACAAAAGAAAAAAGTAGATAAAAATTGGACTTCAAATTAAACACTTTCGTGCTTCAAAAGTTATTGTTAAGAAAGTGAAAAGGCAATTCACAGAATGGAAGAAAATATCATATATCTGATAAAGGTCTAGTATGTAGACTATATAAAAAACTCTTACAACTCAATAACAAAAAGAAAAATAATGTAATTTAAAAATAGGCAAAGGATTTGAAAAGATATTTTTCCAAAGAAGATACACACACAGCTATTGAGCACATGAAAGATGCTCAACATTGTTACTTGTCAAGGAAATGAAAATCAAATCCACAGTGAGATACTGCTTCACATTCACTATCATAAAAAAGATGGACAATATGAAGTATTGCTGAGGGTGTGGAGAAATTGGAGCCCTCGTACATTACTGATGGGAATGTAAATGTTATAGCCATTTTGGAAAACAGTCTGGCAGTTCCTGAAAAAAACGAAACATGTAGTTACCATATGACAAAACAGTTCCACTCTTTATACCGAAGAGAAATGAAGACGCATGTCCACACAAAAACATTTACACAAACGTTCATAGCAGCAGCATTTAAAATGGCCAAGAAGTGGAAACAACTCAAATGCCATCAACTGACGAACAGATAAGCAAAATGTGGTATATCCATACAATGAAATATTATTCAGCATTAAAAAGAAATAATGCCTGTTACAAGACGGATGAACTTTAAAAACAATATGCTAAGTGAAAGAAACCAAACATAAAAGGCTGTATGATTTCATTTATATGAAATATGTAGAATACACAGATACATAGAGATAGCGAGTAAATTAATGCTTGCCTAGAGCTGGGGTTTTGGGGAGAAATGAGGAGTAATACCAGTAGGTATGGAATTTTCTTTGGGGGTGATAAAAATGTTCTAGAATTGATTATGGGTAATGGCTTTGTAATGGAATATTGAATTGTATGTTTTAAACGGGTGAGCTTTATTGCTGTTTTAAAATTTTAGTAAATATGAATAAAATACCTTTTAATGTTTCCTAAGGCATTAGCTTTATGCCATGAAGAGGTATTTATTTTTTAACACTTCTGTATAGGAGGATTTTTATTAGAATATTAAGAACATATAAAGCATGGTTCCCATGGTTCCTTAATTTTTAATTTTTATTTATTATTTGTTTTTGAGACAGTCTCGCTTTGTTGCTCAGGCTGGAGTGCAGTGGTACCATCTCGGCTCACTGCAACCTGTGCTTCCGGGGTTCAAGTGATTCTCCTGCCTCAGCCTGCAGATTAGCTGGGATTACAGGCATACACCACCATACCCAGCTAATTTTTTTTTTTTATTTTGAGACCGAGTCTTGCTCTGTCGCCCAGGCTGAAGTGCAGTGGTACAACCTCAGCTCACAGCAACCTCTGCCTCCTGGTTCAGGCTATTCTCCTGCCTCAGCCCTCCAAGTAGCTGGTATTACAGGTGCCCACCACCACGCCCAGCTAATTTTTGTATTTTTAGTAGAGATGAGGTTTCACCATTTTGGCCAGGCTGGTCTTGAACTCCTGACCTCATAATCTGCCCACCTCGGCCTCCTAAAGTGCTGGGATTACAGGCATGAGCCACTGTGCCCAGCCGAATACTGCTATATATACCTATCTCTATGGTTTTTTTTTTTTTTTTTTTTTTGAGACAGAGTCTTGCTGTGTCACCCAGGCTGGAGTGAGTGGCACGATCTTGGCTCACTGTAACCTCTGCCTCTGGAGTTCAAGCAATTTTCCTGCCTCAGCCTCCTGAGTAGCTGGGATTACAGGCACCACCACCATGCCCAGCTAATTTTTTTGAATCTTTAGTACAGACAGGGTTTTGTCATTGAACTCTTGGTGTCAAGTGATTCAGGCATTTGCCTCAGCCTCCCAAAGAGTTAGATTTACAGACATGAGCCATCATGTATCTGTCTTCTTTATGACTTCTCTAAAGGGCTGATTAGATTGTATATCTGTAGATTACGTGCAAGTTTTTTTTTTGTTTGTTTATGTGTTTTTTTTTTTTTTTTGAGACGAAGTTTTGCTCTTGTTGCTCAGGCTGGAGCATAATGGTGTGATGTCTGCTCACTGCAACCTCCGCCTCCTGGGTTCGAGCAATTCCCCTGCCTCAGCCTCCTGAGTAGCTGGGATTACAGGCATGCACCACCACGCCTGGCTAATTTTTTTGTATTTTTAGTAGAGATGGGGTTTCACCATGGCCAGGCTGGTCTTGAACTTCTGACCTCAGGTGATCCGCCTGCCTCTGTCTCCCAGAGTGCTGGGATTACAGGCGTGAGCCAGCACTGTAATCGACCACGTGCCTGGTCGATTACGTGCAATCTTAAAACTAAGCTGTTTGCATGAGAATCTTCTATCCAGAGACTATATTCAGAGAAAACAACATATAATAGATTTAGACCAATGGTTCTCACCTGGAGGGCAGTTTTGTCCCCAGGGAACATTTGCCATGTCTAGAGACATTTTTGTTTATCACAACTAGGAAAGGAAACTGTGTTGGATTTAGTGAGTGTAGGTCAGGGATATTGCTGAATATTCTACATTATAGAGGACAGCCCTTCCAAAATAAAGACTTATTCAGCCAAATATGTCGGTAGTACTGAGGTTGACCTTTATCCACACTGTAGTGGAGTTCTTGTGACTAAGCAGTATAATATAATGAGTAAGAGAATGGACTCTGAAGCCAGATTGCCTGAATTTGCATCCCAGCTCTGCCAATTCCTAGCTGATACTTTTGGTTACTACTCTTTTTGTGCTTCTCTAAAATAGTACTGAAAACAATAACCATACCTACTTTGTATGATTATTGTGAGGCTAGATGAGTTAATACATGTAAATCTTCTTTTTGTTTGTTTTTGAGATGGAGTTTTGCTCTTTTTGCCCAGGCTGGAGTGCAGTGGCGTGATCTCAACTCACTGCAACCTCCACCTCCTGGGTTCAAGCAATTCTCCTGCCTCAGCCTCCTGAGTAGCTGGGATTACAGGCACCCACCATCATGCCTGACTAATTTTTGTATTTATAGTAGAGACGGGGTTTCACCGTCTTAACCAGGCTGGTCTTGAACTCCTGACCTCAGGTGATCCGCCCACCTTGGCCTCCCAAAATGCTGGGATTGCAGGTGTGAGCCACCGTGCCTGGCCCAATACATGTAAATCTTTAGTGCCTAGAATGTAGTAAACACTCAATAAATGTTAGCATTGTTAGGATCTAAACTGTTAACTTCAAAGATATCCGCTCCCGGTACCTTTGTGATTGTGGGTTAGCTCGGGAAATCCCCAAATGTACATACTTACTGGTCTACAGAAGCTGACAATATATTTGCTTTATCTTTAGCCCTATTTTGAGTACTCCCATTTTAATGGCTTTTAGTCCATAAGCATATTGTCAGTCACTTTCTTTCAGTCTTCTATAATTTTTTTTCCCAGTGCTTAGGGCAACACCGTAGCTTCCATCTTTTGTGTTCTAGTACATTAAAATAATGCATTAGGCTGTGTATGTGTACAGTATATACGTACACAAACACACAGGATTATATTAAACATACTAATTTTTTAAAAACAAAAAACTCTGACCTTATTTTCTAGGCAATTCGAAGTTTTCAAGTAGCCCTTCACATCTATCCAATGAACCCTGAAATATGGAAAGAAGACCTCTCTTGGGCAAGAACGCTCCAGGAGCAGCAGAAGGTAGCACAGAGGATTAAAAAAAGTGAAGCACCAGCTGAAGTAACACACTTTTCACCAAAGTCAATTCCAGACTATGACTTTGAAAGTGATGAGATTGTTGCTGTGTGTGCGGCTATTGCTGAGAAAGAGAAGACAGTTTCAGCAAATAAAACAATGGTTATTGTGTCTGCTTCTGGGGCTGTAGAGACTGTAACTGAAAAGGAGGATGGTGCTACACCACCAGATGGCTCTGTTTTTATCAAAGCCCGATGAAGCAGTATGCATAGGATTATTTGAATCTTTGATTGCCTCTTGAAGTTTTGACATAGAGACATTTACTCTGGAGTTAGATAGGAGAACTCCTGGTTGTAAAATAACGTTTTTCAGATGAGGCATATAAAAACTAAAATGGCAGGATTATTGTATAGTGTTTGGAATATGCTTTAATAAATTATGATTTATATTTCTCAAGGTTAAAATTCTGAGTAAAATGGTTTTTGATTAATAAACTTAGTTTAATCTGAATATGTAAATGAATACATTTTAAAGACAAAACTTGAAAAATGTATTCTTGAATAGTGAATAACTTGATCAATGTTACTGAAATGCTGTTTCAACTTTTGTTGTATGATAAAGGAAGTATGTGATTTCGCTCCCTCTGAGAAATATACTGCTCTTACTATTTGCTGTCTTTTTCTTGCTTCATTAGAGTAAGTCTGTCAGAAAGCTTGAATATTTTTGACATTCATTTTGATTCAAAGTTGTCATTTGGTCATATGTGGAATCTTTGAAAGTTTGGTTGAAAATGCACGCAAATGTGTACATTCTGAACATTTTCTGAAGTTTCTTTTAATTCTGATTTGTGTTTCTGTTTTGACTTTGAAGTTATAACAATGATAGTTGTTTCCTTCAGTATTTGGTAAAAGTGTGAAGTATTGATAAATATGAGAATGATGGTTTTATTTTTTAATTGTTACAGTAAGTAATCCTTACCACAAATGAGTCATTTTAAAAATACGCATTTTTAAATGAATGGCTTTTACAGATAGGTTAATGACAATTGTACTGCTATATTATCCTAGTCAAAACCAATACTTTCTCTTTTTTATTTTACAAAGCTTTAAAAACCCTGGAAACAACTTACTTCTTGCTTGTATCTTTCAATTTGATGACTGGGAATTACTTTTCTAGATAACTTTTTTTGAAACTACTCAGTGAAATGAAAAATAATTACAATTTTAAATAGCTAATTATATCTTTCTAGAAATAAAAAAGTAGGGCTGTTATTAGAGTGCCAGTGAATAAACAACTTAAGCACAAAAGACATAGAAAATGGAATGTGATTTATAGTACAATCTCATGAGTTTGAGAAGGCTATATTAAAAAAATATTTTATTGAAAGGCCACAATCACATTCACAAACCAATACGGTCATTGCTAATCTGAACTATTATTTTTATACCATATACTGTAGTACAATAATATAGACCTGTTGGGTTCCGTTACTTCTGACACTCAGGAAGATACTATAGGTGTATTAATTTTATCTTTGTTAGAGATGAAAGTAGCCCACTTTATGTTAAAGATCTTACTAATGTTGGAGCATGTAAGTAATGATCTACATTTTTTATGAAGATGGTTTTTAAAACTTTTGTTTTATTGGAATGCATATCTCTTTTCAGAGTTGGAGAAATTAGCATTTGCCTTGAAAAGAATATTCTTTCCTTAAGTTATATCATCAGAAAATTAGCCCTGGTTAGAGAGGTAAGTTTCAGAGTACTCCAAAAAATATGTTATTTTATTTTGTTTAATAAAGAACATTCTCAAAACGTAAATAGGTATCTAGAGAAGTGAGTACTCAACATTTGGTATATTGTTTTGCATAATGGATGTTTGTTTATTGTGTAATTTGTGAATAAATAGTTTTTTTCTGCATTTTGAAGATTTTCCTATTATTTTGTATTGTTAGCTTTTGAAAAATTAGATTCATCTACTTAATATCTTTCTTATATGAACATAATATATTTAAAGTACCTTGCATGGTGCCTCACACATGAAGAAATGCTAGCTATTTCAGTAAACGCTAGCTATTTCTATGAAAAACTTGAATTAGTTTGGAGATATTTAACCTCAATTTCCTCTGATTTTAAAAAAGGAGAACTTTTTTTGTATTCCTTTCCTTATCTGAAAGTAAGAAGTCTCTGCTTCTAGTATTATAGGAGAGATAGTGGGATTTTTCTTGACAGGGTCTATTCCTCAAGCCCCAGAGAGGCAAGACTCAGGATGGAATGCATGTGGCCGCTAGGCCCTGTTATAAGAACCTAGTTTTTCCTCTGTGTTGGCGTGGTAAGCCAAGTTAGTCTCTTTCTTACCCAGATATAAGACATAAATTAGTTTAGACATAAGATAGAGGAGAAAAAGAAACAGCAAGTTATGAAGAAGGAAGGCAGCTCATTTCTGCAGGCCCCCAAGAATGCTTATTTTAGCTCATACTCTTCCATGCATGAAGAGAAAAATGTACCCATTATTTTATACAAGGATGTGAATACTGATACACAAACATTGACTAAGCTTGTTAATTTTAATGACAAATCTTTATGAATCTGAAGAGAAATAATTGATGTTCATGATATTGATATAGATGTTTAATATACTTTCTGAAATAACACTGTTTAGTGTTCAAGTTAAATTGACTGTAATTTACATTATTCTTGTTTGAGAATTGTATGGCATAGACAGTCGTTAGTCAGAGTGTCTAGACATCCAGACCATGCCTGATAACACAAGAATCATATGTCATTCTCTAGAAAACAGGCTGTTTGGTTACAGAGTATTTATCTTAAATTTATTAACAGATACTACATAAACATTGAAAAGCTGTGCAAGTTATAGATCACAGGAGCCAGATCTACTGCAGCTGGGGCCTACATACAAAATTTTATGGCAGTGGTTTCAGTATGACAATCTTTTGAATTGATGCTGCATGGTAAAACTATAAAGATTTTTTAAAAGCTCTGTCTCAGCTAGAATTTTGATGATTATAACTGAACAGTATAGCCCTTTTAGTTGTTTGAAAATTACATAATGATTCAAAAGTTTGTTTCACTGCCTTTCCCAGCACTAAGAAAATTAACAATCATTTCTTTTAATTTCCTTGAGTCAGAAGCCCTTCTAAAGTGACTCTGGACCAGCCATTCTGAGCTATGATTTCATGATACATATATCAATATCTAAATGAGTTTTGAGTTGACATAAGAATCATAGTTCCATAATAATTATCGTCAAATCAATGGATATCTTAAATGTGTTTTCTTCTTCCTTAGAGATTATTATTAAACTGATGTATTTGATAAAGAATTTTGGGACTGAGGAAGTAAGTTTTTCAAACCAATAATAAGATACTGAAATATATAAATTATAAAAAGTAATAAAATGAAATAAAGGAGGTTATCCCTAAAGTCATTTATCTTAGCTACTTGCAATTAAATATGGTTACTTTGGAAGAAGAAGTGTGGCTCTAAAGCTAGTGTAACATGAATCATGCCCTAATATGCATTATACATGAACTACTTTGGTGAGAAGGTAGCGGTAGGTGGGGATGGCTTCCTCTCACAGTGCTTCTTAGGCTATCCATTTACCAAGGAACTCTAATCTCTTCCTCTCACTTCACCAGGAAAGGAGGCAGTTTAAGATATAGAACTGGGCATGCTAGCCTCTTTTTCCCCTTTTGTGGATTTGTCATAACTGCAGAGAGCCTATGGTGTGGTCTCTTACCAGCCACCTTGTGAACCTTGCAGTGAAAGTTCTTTGCCTCTGCAAAGGGAGATCTGTGCTTGTGCAGAACTGCCCATGCCTTAGTGAGCAGGTCTGTCTAATTCTGAGTTCAATATCCGGTGGCTATTGTTGGCATAAACTTAAAGTACATCCTCTAACCTAGCCTTTTTCAACAATAAACTTAATATATTGAATCTCCATCTGTCTGTCTCTCAAGTGGTTCAGATGTCAGGAGAGGACAGGGACATTATTTTATGACTCCCTCAAACCTTAACAAAGACTAGTGCAGATTATATTTCAAAGTAAGCATGAGATATATTAAAAACCAAATGTGGGAATTCTTTCCTAATTTTAGATTTTTTTTTAAATAATGGAAATTCTATTGAAATTGAGTAGTGTTAATTACAAGGCAACAAGTAAATATTTGTTCAGGATATTTAAAAGGTCTGCTGACTTGGAATTGTGACAGACCACATTGTTGACTCTAGATTGGACTGGAAGGGAAGAATGTGAAACGAATTAGGATATCCTCTGTTCACTTCTATTAACTTTTGTAAATGAGTATAACTTAGAAATAATAAAATGCAAGTATTTTAACGTTATAGTTGGGAGAATTTTGACAAATGTAAACACACACTTCACCACCACTGCCATCCTGATATAGCATATGTCCGTCACCCAAAAAGTTCTCTAAAGCCCTTTTGCAGTTGGTTCCCCTCCATCCCAACAGCCATCCCTAGTCAACTACTTGTCTGCTTTCTGTGGCTATACATTAGATTTAACTTCAGAATTCTAGAGTTTGAAATAAATAGGCCATATAATATGCACTCTTTTTGTGTCTAACTTTTTTTTTTGCCTAGCATAATGCTTTTGAAACCCATCCATGTTGAGATTCATCCATGTTGTTGTGCATATCAGTAATAAGTTTGTCTTTATTGCTGAACAGTATTCTAGTATATGGATATACCACAATTTGTTTAGCTATTCACTTATTGATGGACATTTAGGTTGTTTCAAGTTTTGATCTATTATGAATAAAGCTGCTATGTACATAAATCACAATTCTGTGTGTGGACATATGTGTTCATTTCTCCTATGTAAATACCTAGGGATGGAATTGCTAAGTCTTATGACCAGTTTATACATAACTTTAAAGGAAACTGCCATACTGTTTTCCAAAGTATCTGTACCATATGGGATTTCTACTAGCAATGTATTAAATTAATTTCAGTTTTTCCATATCCTTGTCAATGATTGATGTTGTCAGTCCTTTAAATTTTAGCCACTTTCATGGATATGTAGTAGTATTTCATTGTGGTTTTAATATGCGTTTCCCTAATGATGTTGAGCATCTTTTCATAGGCTTATCTGACATTTCTCTATCTTTTTTGGAAAGTACCTGTTCAAATATTTTGCCCATTTTAAATTTAAGTTATCTTATTATTGAGTTGTAAGAGTTTTCCTTTCTACTGGATAGAAGTCCTTCATGAGCTGTAAGTATTGTGTATATTATCTTCCCATCTGCAGTTTGCTTGTTTGTTTTCTTAGTGATACCTTTTAAAGAGTGGAAGTTTTTAATTTTGATGATGTCTAATTTATAAGTTTTTTTTTCCCTTTATGGTTGTGCTTTTTGTGTACTAAGAAACCTGTCCTTACTCCCAAATCACAAAGATTTTCTGTTTTGTGCTAGAAGTTTTATAGGCTTAACTTTTATGATTAGGTCCATGATCCATTTCATGTTAATTTTGTTGTTGTTATTCATATTTTCACCTGGTCCCCTAACTTTTTGTTTTAAGCTTATTTTACTTTTTAACTTTTATTTTAGGTTTGGGGTACATGTGAAGCTTTGTTACTAAGATAGACACGTGTCATGAGGGTTTGTTGTACATATTATTACATCATCCAGGAATTAAGCTTAGTATCTTTTATAGTTATCTTTTCTGCTCTTCTCCCCCCTGCCACCCTCCCCACTCAAGTAGACCCCGTTGTCTGCTGTTTCCTTCATTGTGTTCATAAGTTATTATTATTTAGCTCCCATTTTTAAGTGAGAACATGTAGTATTTGGTTTTCTGTTCCTGTGTTAGTTTGCTAAGGATGATAGCCTCCATCTCCATCCGTGTTCCCATGAAAGACATGATCTCATTCTCTTTCATGGATGCATAATATCCCATGCTGTATATGTACCACATTTTCTTTAGCCAGTCTGTCATTGATGTGCATTTAGGTTGATTCCAAGTCTTTGTGAACAGTGTTGCAATGAACATTTGCATGCATGTGTCTTTATGGTAGAATGCTTTATGTTCCTCTGGGAAAAGGGACCCAGTTAAGGGATTGCTGGATTGGATGGTAGTTCTGCTTTTAGTTCTTTGATGAATCACCATACTGCTTTCCACAATGGTTGAACTAATTTACACTCCCACCAACAGTGTGTAGGGTTCCCCTTTCTAAGCACCTCACCAGCTAGCGTCTGTTATTTTTTGACTTTCTTATAATAGCCATTCTGACTAGTGTGAGATGGTATCTCATGGTTTTGATTTGCATTTCTCTAATGATCAGTGATATTGAGCTTTTTTTCATATGCTTTTTGGTTGCATGTGTGTCTTCATTTGAAAAGTACCTGTTCATGTCCTTTGCCCATGTTTAATGGGGTTGTTTTTCTCTTTTAAATTTGTTTGAGTTCCTTATAGATGCTGGATATTAGACCTTCCTCAGATGCATAGTTTGCAAATAGTTTCTCCCATTCTGTAGGTTGTCTGTTTACTCTGTTGGTAGTTTCTTTTGCTGTGCAGAAGCTCTTAAGTTTAATTAGATTCCATTTGTCAATTTTTGCTTTTGTCGCAATTGCTTTTGGTGTCTTTGTCATGAAATCTTTGCCCATTCCTAGGTCCAGGACGGTATTGCCTAGATTGTCTTCCAGGGTTTTTATAGTTCTGGGTTTTATGTGTAACTCTTTAATACTTCTTGAGTTGATTTTTGTATATGGTGTAAGGACGGGGTCCAGCTTCAGTCTTCTGCATATGGTTAGCTGGTTATCCCAGTACCATTTATTGAATATGAAGTCTTTTCCCCATTGCTTCTTTCTATCAGCTTTGTCAAAGATCAGATGCTCATAGATGTGTGGCCTTATTTCTGGGCTATCTACTTGTTCCATTATTCTATGTGCCTGTTTTTGTACCAGTACCATGCTGTTTTGGTCACTGTAGCCTTGTAGTATAGTTTGAAGTCAAGTAATGTGATTCCTCCAGCTTTGTTCCTTTTGCTTAGGATTGCCTTGGCTATTTGGGCTCTTTTTTGGTTCCATATACATTTTAAAATATTTTTTTTCTAGTTATGTGAAGAATGTCATTGGTAGTTTGATAGAAATAGCATTGAATCTGTAAATTGCTTTGGGTAGTATAGCCATTTTAATGATATCGATTCTTCCTATCCATGAGCATGAGATGTTTTTCTATTTGTTTGTGTCTTCTCTGATTTCTTTGAGCAGTGTTTTGTAATTCTCATTGTAGAGACCATTCACATCCCTGGTTAGCTGTAGTCTTAGGTATTTTATTTTATTTTTGCAGCAGTTGTGAATGGGATTGCCTTTCTGATTTGGCTCTCAGTTTGGTTCTTGTTGGTGTATAGGAATACTAGTGATTTTTGTATAATGATTTTGTATCCTGCAACTTTGCTGAAGTTGTTTATCAGTTGAAGGAGCTCTTGGTCTGAGACTATGGGGTTTTCTAGATATAGAATCATGTCATCTGCAAACAGAGATAGTTTGATTTCCTCTCTTCCTATTTGGATTCCCTTTATTTCTTTCTATTGCCTGATTGCTCCGGCCTGGACTTCCAATACTATATTGAATAAAAGTGGTGAGAGAGGGCATCCTTGTCTTGTGCCAGTTTTCTAGGGGAATGCTTCCAGCTTTTGCCTATTCAGTATAATGTCGTCTGTGGGTTTATCATAGATGGCTCTTACTATTTTGAGCTTTGTTCCTTCAATACCTAGTTTATTTAGAGTTTTTAGCATGAAGGGATGTTGACTTTTATCAAAAGCCTTTCTACATTTATTGAGATAATCATGTGGTTTTTGTCTTTAGTTCTGTTTATGTGCTGAATCACATTTATTGATTTTGATATGTTGAACCAACCTTGCATCATGAGGATGAAGCCTACTTGATCATAGTGGATTAGCTTTTTGATGTGCTGCTGGATTTGGTTTACAAGTATTTTGTTGAGAATATTTGCATTGATGTTCATCAAAGATATTCATTGGCCTGAAGTTTTCTTTTTTTGTTGTGTCTCTGCCAGGTTTTGGTATTAAGCTGATGATGGCCTCATAGAGTAAGTTGGGGAGAAGTCTTTCTTCCTAAATTTTTTAGAATAGTTTCTGTAGGGATAGTACCAGCTCTTCTTTGTACATCTGGTAGAATTTGGCTGTGACTCCATCAGGTCCTGGGCTTTTTTTGATTGGCAGGCTATTTATTACTGATTCAATTTCAGAGCTTGTTATTGGTCTGTTCAAGGAATTGATTTCTTCTTGGCTCAGTCTTGGGAAGGTGTATATGTCCAGGAATTTATCCATCTCTTCCAGATTTTCTGGTTTGTGTGCATAGTGGTGTTCATAGTAGTTTCTGGTGGTGGTTTTTATTTCTGTCAGGTCAGTAGCAGCATGCCCTTCATCATTTCTAATTGTGTTTATTTGGATCTTCTCTCTTAATTAGTGTAGATTGTGGCCTGTTTTATTAATTTTTTCCAAAAAACCAACCCGTGGATTCTTTGATTTTTTGAATGTTTTTGAATTGTTGATTTTCAGCTCTGATTTTTGTTATTTCTTATCTTCTGCTAGCTTTGCGATTGATTTGTTCTTACTTCTCTATTTCTTTTAGTTGTGAAGTTAGGTTGTTAGTTTGAGATCTTTGTAACTTTTTGAGTCAGACATTTAGTGCTATGAATTTCCCTTAACACTGCCTTAGCTGTGTTCCAGAGATTCTAGTATGTTGTATCTTTGTTCTCATTATTTTCAAAGAGCTTCTTGCTTTCTGCTGTAATTTTATTATTTACTCAAAAGTCATTCAGGACCATGTTGTTTAATTTCCATGTAATTTTATGGTTTTGAGTGATTTTCATTGTGTTAACTTCTATTTTTATTGCACTGCAGTCCAAGAGTGTGTTTGGTATGACTTTGGTTCTTTTACATTTGTTGAGGATTGTTTTTATGTCCAATTATGTGGTTGATGTTAGAGTATGTGCCATGTGGCAATGAGAAGAATGTATATTCTGTTGTTTTTGGGTGGAGACTTCTGTAAAAGTCTATCAGATCCATTTGGTCCAGTGCTGAATTTAGGTCTGGAATATCTTTGTTAATTTTCTGCCTTGATGATGTATCTAATACTGTCAGTGGAGTGTTGAGGTCTCTCACTATTCTTTGGAAATCTATGTCTCTTTTTAGGTCTCTAAGAACTTGCTTTATGAATCTGGGTGCTCCTGTGTTGGGTGCATATATATTTTGGATAGTTAGGTCTTCCTGTTGAATTGAACCCTTTACCATTAAGGTAATGCTCTTCCTTGTCTTTTTTGGTTTGAAATCTGTTTTGTCTGAAATTAGTATTGCAACCCTTGCTTTTTTCTGTTTTCCATTTGCTTGGTAGATTTTTCTCTGTCCCTTATTTTGAGCCTGTGAGTGTCATTATGTGTGAGATGGGTCTCTTGAAGACAGCATACCATTGGGTCTTGCTTTTTTATCCAGCTTGCCACTGTGCCTTTTATGTTGGACATTTGGCCTGTTTACATTCAAGGTTAGTATTGATATGTGTGGATTTGATCCTGTTATTGTGCTGTTAGCTGGTTATTATATTGGCTTGTTTGTGTGGTTGCTTTATAGTGACAGTGGTTTCTGTGTTTGTGTTTTTGTACCAGCTGCTAGCGGTCTTTCCTTTCTATGTTTAGTTTCTATGTTTCCTTTTCAAGATCTCTCGTAGGCAGATCTGGCTGAAATGAAGTCCCTCAAAATTTGCTTATCTGAAAAGGATCTTATTTCTTCTTCACTTAGGAAGCTTAATTTGGCTGAGTATGAAATTC